CCCCCCAAATAAATTCGGCTTTAGCTCGGAACCCGCCTCCGGTGTCTGGTCCGTATTGCAAAGGACCCGGCTCGAGAGAGACCTCCGGAACGAAGTAGATGTGTCACAAGCCTAAACAAAATCGAGTCAGGGACGGACATCGACTCCCTTTGGCGTGGTGAAACGACCCAAGGATTATCGTCAATACACCCGTGTCCTTGGAACACCCACCGCGGGGACTCCGTTTACGTAAGGCAATGTCATGGGGGTCCGAACTGTCGGACTAGAAATGCGCAGCCCAGGCGTCATCCCTATCTTGGCTACGATCGAATTATTATAGTTCCTCATGCGAATATTACGGTATTGTGGGGTGCGTCCGGCGGCACGGCGTGGATGTAGCTTGTGTAACGTGAACAGTAAACTGAACCATCAAGGCGCGATTGCGTACAGGAGGCTCGTACGTAGTCAATGAGAACGCCACAACGAGGAGCCAACCTCTCCTAACGCCTGCATGGGGATTTTCCTGCTACAAGGGTCACAACATGACTCAAGACAAGTGACGAGGAGGACACCAAAACCAGGGAATCGCTGGCCGAGTGTGGACGCTGGATCAGCAACCGAAACACCATTATCTACAAGGGAGAGGTACCGATCCCTCTCGTGAACCAACGGAGTTGATCAACATCGAACATGGACAGAGGGACCGCCATTTGAAGGTATTACGTTATTAGACTATAGACTACGACACAGGCGAGGGGTACCGTAGATCCTGTGTTCAGGCCCCTCGTTGTGCGAAAGGACCTAGACCTGTCGAGCAGTACCTAGCTATCCATGTAGCGACAACATCTAAGGCCGACCACCCCAAGCCTTGTACAAAACGGCCCGCGCACAAATCAGGTTACACTGTCGTTTCATGCTCCACGTAGAATATGTATTGCCTTTGACTCTAACCCCGAACCCTTCAGTTCCAACAATTCCACATTTAGCACGTATCCAACATGTTTGCTCACAAGACAAGTTCGTGCGTTGTTCATAAGAAAAAGACCAAGCAACAAAAAGTGCATAATAGCGAATGGTGACCCGTCATGACGCATAGAGCGACATGCACGGCGAATAAATTACAGCCTGACCACGGCCCAGAAAATAAGGACAGCAAAAATCACGCGTACACGCTTCGACGAAGCAACTCGCCGACCAATCGATGGGTGCTATTTCACAACCACTTCAAACCGCGGGAAATAGAAGAGCGTGTGCGTACTACTGCAGAGATTGCATTACCTACGAGGTTCATCACCTCTTCATCTTCCCGGACCCGGTTCCTGTTTTCGAACATCGTTCGCCAGGCGCTGAGTTTCGGACAATTTCCCGACAAAACGTCCCAAAGCAACGCAGCTACCTAAACGCCAGGCCGCTGCAGAGATTGGCTCCGGGCGACTGTTTTTTTTAATGGCCCAAGAGCACCCAACGGCGCATTCTTTCCCAGACAGTGTACAGGAAGACGAGATACCCTATCCCGAACTACATCTCCCTATCCTTGTACTTACTTCCATTACCTGAAATGGACAATTTTCATGTCATCGTGGTACGACTAGACTACGTCATCTTTGTTATTTTTTGTGTTGTTTTTTCTCCCATCATCGGACTCTGTCGTCTGCCCCTCTGGCCCCTATCCTCTTTTACCAGCTAGACGACCCAACCGGGGTCACATAGGAGGGGGAGGTTGGACCCCCTGCTGCAGTTCCTGCGTGAGATATTTTTGTCGCGAGAAGGGCACAGCAATCCCTTCCCTCGCGACTTACGAAGTCGATCAAGTTTACTAACAACGAGCTTTGCAGCGCGTCGCTTCCAACGGAGACCACGATTTAATTAGCGAGAAAAAACTCACTCTGTCGGGACTCGAACCCATGACCTGGCCCTTAGCAGGCTGCGAGGCTACCCACTAGACCACCGGGGCGACCGGCCCGGTGTTGCCACCGGAACACTAACACTGTACATTCACAAACCGTCGTGGCCCGCGTGCCTTAGGTGCTGCGTTCGAACATTGTATAGATGCTCGAGTACACAACAAAAAATACAAGCGAGCTGTCACAAACGAGGTGCTCAACCTGTCTACTTGACCAACTTTTTGCGACAGCAGCGCATTCAAGGCAAACCAATATCGGTATTCCCAACTGGTTCAACGAACGATTGGGGAGTATACTGGTGTCCGAACAGATGCATGGATAATCCATGGATAACCGAATGAACATCTTACAAGCAACTGCAGTAGGATCGCAAAGAGCAAGCGAGCGCTGAACGAGGTGCACTTATTCAGAATTTACTAACTTATGAATCGACAAAAGTTTTTCTCGCTTTCCCGTAGAGGAAATCAGGAGGCGCCACAACCCGCAGGTGTTTGTCCCGTTCGCTACGGCACAATCGTCTTCTGCCGTAGTCCTAAACGAATATGGAATGGGTTCTCTTGGCTACATGTTGGCGAATATCTCGGCTACGTTTGCAACGTGTACGGGCAATAAAATAAAAATTCCGGTCGTTTTGCGTTCGAATATGTAGGGCAAGTTTCGAATATTACCCAGCTCGTGGGTGACTTCGACGAGTTCTCCGTCGTGCAAAGTAGATGGCATGTTTTGAGCTGTTCCTCCCCGTGCACTGCGGTCCCTGGCTAACATTTCGGCGACCGCCAGCCCCGAAGGTACAGCGTTGTTGGTCGTTTCCGTCTGGTCGCGAGCATTTAGGTTGCAACCGGCTGATAAACCTGGCGCGAATGCCTGATCTCGTCCATCCAAGCTTCGGTGGCGCAGGACAAACGAGCGTACATCACCTTATCAACCTCGTTGAATAGCCGGTTGATAAAATACACGACACCCACCATCTGCGTGTAAACCCGCGCACATCATGAAGGCGATTCAGCGGCTTATTCATCGACATCTCGCTCGAGCCATCAAGACACACGGATCGTTTCAGGAATAAAATCGCAAAACCTATCCGAATCATCGGCAGCCTGTGCATCAGCGTCAGCCAAGACCTAGTGGAAGATGTGCCTTGATTCGCGCGGTACATAGTGCGCATGTCGTTCGGTTCGAAACGATTTCGGGTGCAGGAAATAGTGCGCTCGCTCACCAAAAACAATATCGCGAACTGAGCAGGATGCTCCAGGTTGTACCACGCGCACTTGAAACCCGATGGCAAGTCAACCAGCACTGCACGAAACGAAGCGGTAAGAGCACCCACGGAAGAGGTGACCCGTGAGAACCAGAGGCCACGCGCAGGAATACCAAGTGTCATAGGGACGACCTACGTCGCCTGATTGTTGGCTAAAAAGACTGACAAGACGTGCGGCAAAACGGTCGGGAGTGCAAGGTCGGGATGAAGTACCTTGCCTCGTATTTCGAACTCCCGTGTTGTCGATATGGCACTGTTCTGGGTGCACGCACTTTGACGGAGAGGAGAAATGAGCACCAAAGAGCAGACCTTGCGTTTGAGTCCGAATCGCAGTCATGATAGCATGTAAGGCAAGACCGTGCACAAGGTCGGTGGATTTTGCCAAACGGCGGTTGGCAAAACGAGAGACAGATTCCACAAACGGTCTGGACCGATGGCGGATGTCGGTGCTTCCCCAACACTCTTGCGTTAGGCGCGTCACTCACAGCTGCCATCCACGAGACCCGCGTTTAAGGCCGCGATCGTCGCCAACAATATCCTGCGACTGCGATGATATCAACCGGAAAACACGAGCAGGGGGGCCGACAGCTCATGCAAAACGAACAAAGCACACCCGGCGGAGTTCTTCAGAAAAACCTGTGCGAACTAACCTCTGTGTACGCCACGCCGTTGTGGTAAGGATGGAACTCGTCGCGGTAGGGATGCCACGGCAGAATGCCAACCGAAACAGGCGGAAGGGATATTCACACCGAGCATTATTTCTACTAGAACGCCCGGTGCCGAGTTTCTTGTTACAGCATTGATGGCATGTACCGAGGATCACGTGCGGAGTACGCCGTTTGGGCCGAAGAATAACCGCCCTGCACGTTTCGGGGAACGGTGTTGCGCTTGCAACAGCACACGGGTTCCAGGTTTTGGAAGCTGTTACAAGAGCACTGTGCGAAGGTGAAGTCTGATCGCCGGATCGTTCCTTGACATAGAAGCAAAGCCATTAGACACGGCCCACGGCACGTGCGCTCCACACCCACCGTTCTTGTGGTGGGGTAAAAGGCTTCGTCATTGTTGTGAGTAATACCGAAGTACGTTGGCTGTAATACTGCAAGCCGAGCCTCATGTACGCTCTTCTTTTTCCACGAACATTTCGAAAAATTTCCCTTTACGTTGAGCTGGATGGAGTACCTCATCATCGTCAAGCCACCCGTCCTTTTCCCGATGCTCCTTCGGGCTTCGCGCTTCAACGACGAACTTTGGCAGCGCTTGAAATGCCGCGAGGGTTGGGTTGCACTTGGTCCAGGTATGGCGGCTTTGTCTTTAACTAGTGAAGCAGTCCATGAAAGTTGTAGCCGTATTTCTCCACGGCGTTCCTCGAGATCCGATGACCGCGGGCTCATGGCCGGCGCATCTGGCGAAAATAAGGCTGAAAATGACGAAGGTGGTGGTGGTCAAGCCACAGGTACTGTGCAAAGCTCGCCTCAGCAACGGTGGCCCAAACCAACGAGAGAGGCGAAAAGCTGAAACCATAAGGAAAATGCCAAAATAGCAACCACGTGTGGTTAACGTTCTGCGAAATGCAACATTGGAACTGCTTCCTTCGAAAGCCACAACTCGAACATGCATTCTCGGCCTAAGCATGCTTGACGCGACTCAAGTCGGAAAAGCTACATGTATTTCACTCCACGGCAGTTGACAGATACATCTCCAAGAAAAGTGGACTCACCGCGGAAAATACTCTGCACGAACAGTGGGACGTAGCAGATGATGATGGACATGGTGTAGAGTACAAGCCCTGAGGAAACGTGGAGCGGGCAAACACGGTGTAATGGTATGTGTTATCTTGCTTGAAGTGCATGTTGACCTCCTTCGATACCTGGTGTACGTGCGCGCATGCATGCTGTCAAGGCTCTTGGGTCACGGTGAAAAAGCGCACGCAACAGGGCAAAGTGTAACGTCCCCGGTGGCACGAGCCGGACAGTCCAGGGACTTTCGATCAATGACGACCGTCGTGATCGGGACTCTTCAAACAGAAAGAATATGCTTATTCGGCACCTGCCGTGTCGGCTGTTTCATCTAGGGAAACCGAGATATGCCATCGATCTCTTTTGGTCCGAGAGAAGGTTTGTCGAGGTAGACTGCATGGGAAGCTCATGGAGACATGTCCAAACCGCTACTTTATGCGAGAACTAAGGTAGGATTTATTGCGTAGCACTTCCACAGACGCACGCAAAGTGCTTTCGGAGGAGTAGGGTGAGGCACAGTGACCCAAGCGGTGATGTTGTTGTCTTCACATAAAAAACCGTGCCGATCTCTCTACCCAGAACCCTCATTTGTCTTTACTGATCAAACACTTGACGCGGTCGACTCCCGTCGTCACAGGCTAAAATCAAATTGACCCTAAAGGTCATCAAGACGAAACAACTCAGAGACAGATGGTATGGACCCCCCCCTCCCCTCTACACCCTATGTGAGGTAAATATTTAACTGGAAGTTGACATCACCGGCCGGAGAGGTACATCCCCTGCTTCAATCTTGGTACCCCTAGACTGCCGGCGGGGTGTCCCGCGCCGGGTTCCCGGCGGCTAGGCCGAGTCGCCAAACAATCTAGCCCTCTCCACCGAAATAATCGCAGGAATAATGCGAGGAGAGGAAAGCATAAACCCGTGCTACCGACGCGCGCCCGGTCTTCCAGCAGATAACTGCATAGATGAAAGAGAAGTACATCTAAAAAAGAAAAGAAAGAAAAATACGCACGCCACGGCTACCAACGAATAAAAAAGCAGGGCCACCAGTGATACTAAAGGCACGCCATCACTCGCGGGGGGTTGGTATACTCTTGCGGTGATGCAGGGGGGGGGGTAGCCAAGGAGTTCAACCCGGCACATATCGCGCCACTCCGTCTGCCTCTTCTCATTTGCTTTCTTTCCTCGCCGTCTCGTCCGTCTGCTCCCCCCCTCCCATCCCATTGCTTCTTTTCATATCTGAATTATCGCTAGACTCATTGGCTCGTTTGAGCGGGTGCTGTTCGCTAGCCTTCGATTAATCCTTGTGCCAGGAGGTGAGGAACATGTCAGCTCACTCCAGTACCCTCGTGCACCACGGTACTACCCGCTCCACCCCCGCTGCTTCCGTCGAACTATAATGAGGGACTCCTATAAACGCATTGCTCGTCGTCCGTAGATCCGTGAGTAGTCCCCAACGCCTCGTCCTTCAGGCACGCCTGCCGTCTCTGCTCCGGTTTTCCCCTACCTGGGCCCTCCCTCCCCCACCAGCTCGCCGAACATCAGCCGTTTCGGGAGTGGCCAATCCGGTCGCCTTGCGAATGCTCCCGCGAACTGTAGGCGCCACTGCCGAAACAGTGGCTTTTTTTCCGCTCTGGCATACCGACCCTCTTCAAAGCCTGGGCGTGGGAGCGCTGCCGGTGGGTGCCTTTCCTCTGGTACCCCAGCCGGGGATGTATCGACCGCAGCAGTGGTGCAAGATGAAAAATAATGAAGTAGTGATCCACGTACAGCAACCCTGATGTTTGAGTTGTGCGGAGCGAGTCAGCAGCTGAAGTTTTTCTAAGGGCAGCCAATGTTACTGGAGAACAACTGACGTTCATGCATCTCACACAACCGTCCGACAAGAACACCAATATACAAGCGCTGGCTTATCTGACGGCTGTGACGACCAGCCCAGCTATGACGTATTCCGAGTTGGAAAGGCTGATTGTCAGTTGTGACGTTTTCCAAGACCAAACAGCCCGCACATCTGGAGTATTCAGACTCGAAGGACCAATCTGTCTGCAGTAGAACGGTGGCCTTGGTTTTGTGATCCATCGAGACAAGATGTTTCAGAACCGCTATGTCAGGGTAATGCTGCCAAAGATTTAGCGGGTATGGTGTACAACCACTAGCCCCGGAGCCATAAAAGCATCTGTGAACAGTTCAACAGATGTGCGTGTCTCATTGCAACATTCATAAGAGTTGTCGAAAAGAGTAAACCGTAGTCATGTTTGTATCTCATTCAACATTCATAAAAGGTGTGGATGAACAAGCAAAACCGTTTCACAAAGAAAGACAATACGTCAGTACGATGTGGTGCATTTTGATGCATGGAAACAAACAGGTTGTTCCCTATTAACGTTTTCTAATCGTCTCAGCAGCACGCAACGTGGTTCTGCTGAATATTGCTTTATTTCCCGCGAGCTGAACAATCTGCCTGTATATCACCACATCGAACAAACAAGCGGTAAATAGTCCGATCCGCGCATGCTATACGAAAACGTATGTAGGATGAGGGGTATGCGTGCACATGTTTGGCATGCTATAGCGGATAGACAATTGACCGCGCGTCCTCTGGACGACGGAGTTTGTGCCCTAAGGACCGATCCCGAAATTGAAGATGATACATTGGAAACGGTAGGCCAAGAGGGGTTCAAAAACGGGTAATGCATTGCCTTTGCCGAGAGAGAACAACACAATCTAATCGAATATCGAAGATTCAAAAGGGTCTATAGAGAAGGGTACGGAAGGTTGGGGTAAGGAATAGGGTCCAAGGAGTCCCGATATGGACCAATGGGTGGAAGGACAAAGCAGCAGTTCATAATTAGGAACGTCTAGACGAAGATTAAAGAAGGTAGACGATGGCGACGACAAGGTCAAGTGTGCGGTTGCGAATGCTGAGGCTGGGTTCACGTAGTTGCAGCAGGCCATGTTCATGAAAAGGAGAGGGACATGTACACGGCTGAGCTGGGAAAAAAAGAAATGCAGAGAGATGCTTGAGGCATGGAACAGGCAAGGCGGTAGCTATATTGGGGCATAGGAAGTGTGCTGAAAAGGCGGGAAATGGTATCAACAAAGTAGGTAGGGTAGGGAATATATTCCTGAGCCGTCTTTCGCAAAGTACAAAGAAACGATTCACTGTTCGTAAACTCCTTCCTTATGTCATCTACAACCTTAGCCCACTCGGTAGGTTGTCAATCTCTCGTCTTGTTTTCCCACTTTGACCCCGAAGCTACTCTCGGCAACCCCTCCTCTTCCGTATCGTACCCAACTGTACTGAAACCGTAGCTTCCGTAGCTTCCGCAGCTTCCTTGCCTCTCTTCCCGATCGTAGGGATCCCCAGTCTTGCCCGTACTGTTGCATTACTTGTGGGCTTGCAGTATCCTTGGTTGATAATCGCTGCTTTCCTCCGCCTCGAGCTCCTGTACTACCTATATTTTTTTTCCCAAACTTCTCCGGCGTACTCTAGCGGCGGCATAAAAAAGTAAGAGAGGGGGGAACAAAGTCTACGTGCATTTACGGCACGTGGGGCAAGTTCGTAAAGCCGATTGGCCACTACGCACGTGCTTGACTGCCTTGCTTTTGCTACATTGTCACGCCTACCGACCAAGCTCAATGCACCCAACATGTCCCTTGATATCTGCCCGGCGATTTGGTTTAGCGGCGTACGCTTTGAGGAACGAGATCTTCGCCTAGTGTAAAGGAAGTGCATTGCCTCGCCAATACCACACAACTTCCGCGTACTCTTGAACCGCGCCGAGATGCGACGATCACCCCGCATCCTGCAGCGGTGCCAACTCCCTCCCGAACCCTCCTCACTTTTGGCTTCTCCCGCGTCAGCTCTAGCGGAATCGTCGGAATGGTTGCCCTCCTCCACGTACGTAATGTTGTGCGATTTCTCGATGAGCACGTAATCCGCGTCCTTGCGCAAAGCATCGGCTATCGCTTCTGGCTCCACTAGCTCCGCCTAGGACTTCGCCTTCGCGACTGCTGCAGGGGGGACGAGGATACCCGTGGGTGATGGCCAAGGTGCGCCAACAACTCCGAGTCGTCCACTCGGTCCCCATCCACCACCACCCCCTTCGTTCTGAGGCCTGGCTCGTTCTAACCGGAAAGGGCCACGCCCAGAGACCAACAAGAGTGCTTGCGGAAAGGTCCACAGAACTGTGTGTTCGATTGGGGGGACTGACGGCAAGACTCCACGGGACGTCAAAGGGGGGGGTTGTAGCTGGTGCCCAACCTCCCCGGGGTCAGGTTGGGACGTTGGGTATCGACCTTGGACAACATGTAGTCTGCACTGTCAGCCTGCACTATTGGTTGCATCAACGCCGCAATCCGGGATGCGGGGCTCGCTGCATACGTCGGCCTTGCAGACTGACCTGTTGGAGGTCGTGGGAAGGTTGTGCACCAGATACAATCTGCCCTGGCCACCCATGCCGTCTTGTTTGCACCTTAAGTTCCAAACAGCTGAAATTCCAACAAGCAAAGCCCTGGGTCGGCATGGCGGAGTCGCATATCTTCAGAAAATATGACTACCCCAATCCACACCTGGCGGTGGGCGGAGCGCAACCTAGAGGTTCCAAAAGTTGGTCTACTCGAGGGTATGATGGCAAAGACCGCTCGTCGGTCGTTGTTGAACTCTTGCCATGTTTCCACACAGCACGAGGGATAGCCTCTACAATCGCACACCGCACACAACGGGCTTAACCGCCAACGCCAGAGCAAAATAATGTGCCCTCGTCTTAGGCTCACCTACAGCAGCGCGACAAGTGGCAGCAGCAACAGCAGCCGCATTTGGCGCCGCATCTACGCCGCTACATGTACAACCGTTTCCAGTGGTTTTGTTTCCCACCTTCCGCCCGGGTTTCTTTCGAAGTGTTCCCCTGATGACTACAGCCCAACTGTACCCAACTGCACCGCAGCAAAACCCTCAACCGCTGGCTATTGGTTGTTTCACCAAGCACCAAACCTCGATCTCTAGGTCTGGGTTTGAAAGAATCTGTCAGGACACACCACGCATTTTTGT